GGGGGTGGGGGTGGTGATACGCTCTTCCACCACCTCCAAGACAACCGGAGAACCAATTCGATTCGATCCAAATCGGATCGAAATGACCAAGCGCCTGACGTAACCTCTTTTATTGCGCCGGAAATATTGCTACCTCATGGGTTACCCGTCATCGATCTCCTCGAACCCCAGATTGAATCGTGTTTGAAACCTGTTGATTTTGTGGAAACTCTAGCTGATGTGTACCGTAGGCTAGAGAATTGCCCCCAATTTGAGAAATCAGGAGTGTATCTTGAGCAATGTGGGATTTTCCGTGGGTTATCGGACCTGAAGCTGTTTCGCCGGAGCCTCAGATTAGCTAGACAGCATGCGGTGGATGTGCATTCCAAGGTTGTGCTTGCTTCTTGGTTGAGGTTTGAGAGGAGGGAGGATGAGCTTATTGGTACATCATCAATGGATTGTCGTGGAAAAAATATTGAGTGTCCTAAGGCTACTTTGGTACCTGGGTACGATCCTGAATCGGTTTATGATCCTTGTATGTGTTTGAGAACTCCACAAGGCGAAGTTGATGATGATGATTTTGCGGAGTATGAGGAATGTTCAACCTCTATGGAAGATGGGGATATTTCATTTTGCATTGGGGATGAAGAGGTTAGCTGCATACGGTCCAAAATTGCATTGTTATCAAAACCATTTGAGACAATGCTGTATGGTGGTTTCAGGGAGTCCAAAAGGGAGAAGATAAATTTTTCACAGAATGGTATTTCGGCAGAAGGAATGAGGGCTGCTGAGATTTTTAGCAGGACAAAAAAATTAGCTTCTTTTGAACCGTGGCTTGTCTTGGAGCTTCTTTATTTTGCAAACAAGTTTTGTTGTGAGGAGTTGAAGTCTGCTTGTGATGTTCATCTAGCTTCTTTGGTTAGTGACATGGAGGATGCCATGCTCCTAATGGATTATGGATTGGCAGAAACCGCACATCTTCTTGTGGCAGCTTGCTTGCAGGTGTTTTTGAGGGAGCTCCCAAGTTCAATGCATAGTCCTAATGTGATGAAATATTTTTGTAGTTCGGATGCTAGGCAAAGATTGGCTCTGGTTGGGCATGCCTCCTTTGTGCTGTATTATTTCTTGAGCCAGATTGCAATGGAGGAAGACATGAAATCAAACACCACTGTGATGCTTCTAGAGAGGTTGACAGAATGTGCATCAGAGAATTGGCAGAAACAACTAGCATGTCACCAGTTAGGTGTTGTGATGCTTGAGAGAAAAGAGTATAAAGATGCGCAGCACTGGTTTGAGGCAGCAGTTGAGGCAGGCCATATTTATTCATTAGTGGGTATCGCAAGGGCCAAGTTCAAGCGTGGCCACAAATATTCAGCATACAAGCTCACAAATACACTCATTTCAGATTATAAACCAGTTGGGTGGATGTACCAGGAGCGTTCTTTGTACTGTATTGGGAAGGAGAAGATGGTGGATCTGGAAGTTGCTACAGAATTGGATCCAACCCTCACTTTTCCATACAAGTACAGGGCCGTTGCATTCTTGGACGAGAATAAGATTGGAGTAGCCATATTAGAACTTGATAAAATTATTGGTTTCAAGGTAACTCCTGACTGTCTTGAGCTTCGGGCTTGGATTTCCATTGCCATGGAGGATTTTGAAGGAGCTCTCAGAGATGTTCGGGCGCTTTTGACTTTGGAACCAAATTATATGATGTTCCATGGGAAAATGCATGGTGACAATGTGGTGGAGCTCCTCCATCCTCATGTTCAGCAGTGGAGTCAGGCTGATTGCTGGATAGAATTGTATGATCGTTGGTCTTCAGTTGATGATATTGGCTCCTTAGCTGTTGTGCACCAGATGTTGGCAAATGACCCTGGGAAGAGCCTTTTACGGTTTAGGCAGTCTCTTCTCCTTTTACGGTATGGACTTTTTTGATTTACCAGAATTTTTAGCATTGATTCATCTGATGAGTGATGCCATTTCTTTTGAGCTCTAGTAAATAACTCTTCTTTAACTTGCTAGTATAAACGTTAACTACTTTCTGTCATTCTAGTTTATTACTCTGATTGTTGAAATTTTAGCCTTAGAATAAACCTTTAATGTGCTTGGCAGTGCTGTCATCATTATGCATTTGCAGAAGCCAAACTGTGTATCTGCCCTTCTTAAATGTTGAAATAGAACTTTAAAGGCAGTATGTTATCTTATGTCAACAAAAGAATTAAATTAAATAACATGTATGTTATGCCTGCATATATGGTGTTTCTTTAGCTTTGCTCAGTGTGTATTGTCATGACAGATAACGGTTACAGCCTTGCAGGCATAATTAATCGGTCATGGTTGGACATATTCACTGTCCTATAATCTATATGGGTCATACGAAATACTAGATATTGAATGCAATTATAGAAATTACCTCTAAACGTTTACCTTAGGGTATTGTATTGTTGGCAATCATTTCCAAATTTGGACTTGAAGTGCTAATTTTAGTCCAAACTTTGACCTCACAGTATTCTTCTCTTCTAACTTCTTCCCACTGTTACTCAATGTTATAGGTTAAATTCTCAAAAGGCTGCAATGCGTAGTCTACGGTTGGCTAGAAATCATTCTACATTGGAACATGAAAGGCTTGTCTACGAAGGATGGATATTGTATGACACTGGCCACCGTGACGAGGCTCTAGCTAAGGCGGAGGAGTCAATTGCCATCCAGAGATCGTTTGAAGCTTTCTTCATTAAAGCATATGCTTTAGCAGATTCAAGCCTTAATCAAGAGTCTTCAATGTATGTTATTCAACTTTTGGAAGAAGCTCTTAGATGCCCTTCGGATGGACTTCGTAAAGGACAGGTATGTAGATCCTTTTTCTTTGTATAGTATGGCAGTGAAATGTCGTAGAATTCTGAATTTCTGAATGCTTGTTCCATTTTGCAGGCATTAAATAATTTAGGCAGTGTCTATGTAGACTGTGAAAAACTAGATCAGGCTGCTACCTGCTACATGAATGCACTTAACATCAAGCATACACGAGCACATCAGGGTCTGGCACGTGTGTATCAGCTCAAAAACCAACGAAAAGCTGCATATAATGAGATGACAAAGCTAATAGAGAAGGCCCGGAACAATGCTTCAGCATATGAGAAGCGTTCTGAATATTGTGATCGAGAAATGGCAAAGAGTGATCTTGGTATGGTAACAAAATTAGATCCCTTAAGGACTTATCCATACAGATACAGGGCAGCAGGTAAACTCCATGACCAAGTTTATAATTTCTTTTATGTCATGTCTTTAATCACTATTAGCAGGTTCAATTCTGTTGTGATTGTCCGGCAAACATGCAATTAGGAATACCTATAATCATTAATTTGGTTCCTATACTCTTTTATGCTGAAAGTACTTAGGGTCATATATTTGTCTCATAAAACATGTTTCATATTCTAACATGAAGTTTCTGCACTATCAGTTATGATGGATGATCACAGGGAAGATGAAGCCATAGCAGAGCTAACAAAAGTGATAGGTTTCAAGCCAGACCTGCAGCTGCTGCATCTACGAGCTGCATTTCATGATTCAGTAGGTGATCGTGAATCTGCTGTTCGAGATTGCGAAGCAGCCCTCTGTCTTGATCCTGACCATACTGATACCCTTGATCTTTATAGCAAAGCTCGTATGGGAAATTGCTAATTCCGCATGATGCACATGGGGCAATCCAATCGTTGCCACCCTTTTTTCTTTGGGATTCTTTTCGTTTCACAAGATGGAAGGCCTTCATGTTTTTTGATTTTGTCTCTGGAAAATTCAGGATATGGCCCCTGATGCTCAACTTTGAAGAAATTAATGAGAAAGAGAGGTTGACAGGTTAAGAAGTAGAAAAGCTATCATGTAAATATTTTCTCTCTTGGTTGTGGATTGGCTCAGTTGATATAGACACTTACATTTCAGACTTGCTGCACAGCCGCAGCTGCTACTTCAGCAAATGTGGTGAAAAATACCACAGCCGTGAGAAGAACATGCAACAGAAATGGCAGAATTCTGAAGTCAATCCATTTTGAGAGGATTTATGTATTTTTTTTCTTTTTTTCCTCTCTTTTTTTTTTTTTTTTTCTGGTTACGTATGTATTGTAACTCTCATTATTTGTTGGATGACCAAACAAAGCTCGCAATTTTCCCCTCCACATAAAGGGGTATTCATTGAGATTCGAGATGCTGTCAACACCTTGTCATACATATTTAGAAGAGTTTAAACGAATTGGTATATTGATTCTTCATTATTACAAAACCTTAATTCGCGTTAAAGTAAGTTATTTTTGGATGATTCTAGAACAATTCAGTATTTGGTGCTGTTTGAATCCCCTAAAAGAGGGGTTTTTCCCACCCACATCCACCTGTGAGCATTATAAAGTGGAAACATCGGTTTTTAATAGACTGCACGAGATTCCCATAGTTCCAGCTGTTCTGCCACCTTTTTCTCATGATTTCTCCAGTTCATTCAACTGTTCCTCGAGCTTGGGCACCTGAACATATGCAGCGGCAAAAATGGATGTGAAACGCCCCAAAAGGCTGAACTTCAACGCACCCCTGTTGTCCACGAGGCGGACCGGTGGCCACTCCGGTATTGAAGAACGGCGCGATACGAGCAACAGGGTTCCTTTCTGCTGGGAACAGGCGCCTGGCAGGCCCAAAAACCCAGAGAGAAGCGATAGATTCGATGATGAAGCAGAGACGCCTCGCCCCAAACTCCCGCCGAGCAGGTGGCGACCGCCGATTGAATCAACTTACAACGGTGATGGTCGTGAGAAAGAGGATGAAAACGGTGATGTTCTGTCACTAACGGAAGCAATAGACATCCTCGAAAGAGGAGAACACTTTCCTGTTTCCGACGGATTTAATTCGGAGGATAGCAGTTCGGGTGGTAGTAAAAATCCATCGCCGAATTTCATAATCGAGCGGTTTCTTCCGGATGCCGCCGCATTGGCTGCCGCATTCTCCGCTCTAAACCCGAACGAGAAGCTTCGTCTTGCGAACGATTATCCAGAGACGCTTGTCACCAAAGCAGATCCACCGAAGGGCTGCGGCCTGGAAATATTGTTGCCTTGGCACGTGAAGCACAGAGTCTGCGGTGTAAAGAGTCCGATCAAGCAAAGCGCCGCCGTGCTGCAGCCCACTCCGAAATTAAGTTCTGTAAAACAAAAGAAACATCTTACTGCAGAAAAGAGATGTAAATAATATGAATTTTTTTACATTGCATTACTTCTTGTAAGATGATATACAGTTAGTGTTCCTCTTATTTTCCCAAAAAAACAAAAAAAACTTTTCTTCGGCTTATTTGTTGGTAATAATATGACTATTTTTAGGTCAAATTATAAAATAAAATTAAGTTGAAGTAGAAAGCTTTTTAAACAAAATTATAAATAATTAAGTTTTAATGCCAACTATCTAAATAATTGATTTTTTTTATTAGAAATAAAAAATTAATAATTAAAGTTATATAATATGACATGTAAGTGAAATGAGATAAAAGATATAAGGTAATTACATTTCATTACGTAAACAAAATAAAAAAAATTTAAGTGTTAATATCTCATTTAATTTTTCTAAAATTATAAAGAAAATTAAAGGGAAGTCATTCCCTCTCTTTCCCTCTTTTCAAACCCAATAAATTATTTGAAAATACGAGAAATACTCTAACTCTTACAAGTTACAAGTATTTTTTATTAACTTTATATTATGCATAATGGGACAAAACAAGAAACATTCAAGGAATCTTTGCTGTGGGAATGGTATTTGATCCTTGAAAGAGTAGGGCTCACCTACGACATTTTAATTTATTTTGTATCTCCTCGAATTAGGTACACCATCCAATACTATTGAGAACACATACTAAAACGTCAAATTAGCTTTGACTTTTGCTTGCTAAGAAAATTTAAATTAAGAAAGTATTTATTCATATGAGACAGCCAAATTAATAATTAATAATGTGTGTTAAGT